CTCCAATTCTTTTTTTATAACAACTATCAACTTGATACATTCCAAGAACATTACCCATAATAGCAGATTTTTGATGACAAATAAATGCCTTATGAACATCCTTTTCAACTCCAACTCCATTGTCGTAATAATCACCAACAGAATACGTTCCTTCAGCATCACTCATATCAGCAGATTTTTTATATAAATAAATTCCTTTTGTTTATCCTTTTCAACTACAATTCCATTTCGATAACAACATCCAACTTTATTCATTCCTGGAGTATCACCTATATCAGCAGATTTTTGATAATAAATGAATGCCTTTAGTTTATCTTTTTCAAATCCAATTATTTTTTCATAACAACTATCAACTTGATACATTCCAAGAACATTACCCATAATAGCAGATTTTTGATAACAAATGAATGCCTTATGTTCATCCTTTTCTACTACACTTTGATAACAATAACAACATTATATATTCCACTAGCATAATTCATAATCAGCAGATTTTTGATAATAATAAATGTCTTATGTTCATCCTTTTCTACTCCGATTCCATTTGATAACAATAACCAACATTATATGTTCCACCAACGTCACTCATATCGGCAGATTTTTGATAATAAATAAATGCCTTATGTTCATTCTTTTCAACTCCAACTCCATTATCGTAACAATAACCAACACTACGTGTTTCTTTAACGTCACCCATTTCAGCAGATTTATTATAATAAATTAATGCCTTATGTATATCCTTTTTAACTCCAATTCCTTTTCATAATCATATATATTCCACTGACATCACCCATATCAGCAGATTTTTGATAATAATTGAACGCCTTTTTGAACATCCTTTTCAACTTCAATTCCACGACGATAACAATATTCAACTTTATATGCTTCTTTAGCATAACCCATATCAGCAGATTTTTGATAATAAATGAATGCTTTATGTTCATCTTTTTCAACTCCAATTACTGTTAGATAACAATATCTAACCATATATGTTCCAGTAGCATGACCGATTTTTGATAATAAATAAATGCCTTATGTTCATTCTTTTCAACTCCAATTCCATTTCGATAACAATATCCAATATTATGTGTTTCATTAGCATATCCCTTCAATATCGTGTTTTTCAATAACGCTAACTATTTCAGTTAAAGTTTTTTCCATCGCTGCAAATTATCATGACAGGCTTACTGTATTAGGCCTCAATACCAAAAAAAAGATATACGTATAATATACTGTATGTAAACTAAAACTATGTACTATATGTAGTACGTACAATATCTGATGTATATTCACATGACAGTATAATGATTTTCAGAAATTTCAGTATAAATTGTTTATCACTTACGTATTCATAGATTTCTTTAATAATGGCAGAATCAAACGAATTCGTTCCAGTACTTTCCCTAAATTCTATTGATCAAGTTCAATTAAAGCGATACAAAACTTTAATTGAAAAATTTGTAACTTTATATAATGAATCACCAGATTTTATTGCACGAGCACCAGGTCGAGTTAATCTTATTGGTGAGCACATTGACTACGCAGGCTTTGGTGTTTTGCCAATGGCTATTAGTCATGATGTGATTATTGCAGTTAGTTTTTCAAATAAAAAAAGTCATACAAATGTCAGAATATCTAATGTTGATGAAAAGTATAAACAAAAGTGTTGGAATTTCGAAGGAAAAGACAAGATTGTTGAAATTATTGTTGAAGAGGGTGTATCTGAATGGAGTAATTATTTTAAGTGTGGTTATAAAGTAAAATATCAAATAATTTTTTGTATAAATATATTAATAATACTACAATTTAATAATTAATAATTCTTTATTATAGGGTATCCTTCGACATCTTGGAATTGAAAATCCCGTCGGAATGGATTGTTTAGTAGATGGAATTGTACCCATAGGCGCTGGGTTATCTAGTTCATCATCATTTGTTTGTTGTGCTGCTTTGGTGACAAGCCTTGCTAATAATGCAATATTAACAAAAAAACAAATTACTGAAATATCTATTGAGTGTGAAAGATTCGCTGGAATGAACTCTGGAGGGTAAGTTTTTATCCTTATGTTTATTACAATTTCTAACTAATTTAATAATTTTATTTGGTTTAAAAAGAATGGATCAAACTGCTTCAATATTTTCGCAGTCCGGACATGCACTCTACGTTGAATTTTTACCAACACTTAATGCCACTCCAACGAAATTACCAACAACCAATCCACCAATCACATTTGTTGTGGCAAATTCTCTTGTTAAGGCTGACAAAGTTGTCACAGCTCCAATTCATTATAATCTTCGTGTTGTAGAGACTAAGCTTGCTGCTTATCATTTAGGTCAATTATTATTTGGAGAGGGTTGTGAAAATTTAAAACATGTTTATGATTTATATTCAAAATCTACAAAGGTAACAATCGATAACTTGAAAAAACTTTCTGAATATGTTGATCAAGTTTACGAAAAGAAACAGGAAGGTTATACGCTAGAAGAATTATCAAATATGTTAAAATTATCTTCCACAGAAATTCATAATAGGTTCATAGAAAAATTTCCTGTACGTGCCGAAAAGTTTCATTTGTATAAGCGTTCAAAACATGTTTTTGAAGAATCTTGTAGGGTA